AGTCGGCTCGCATAACAGACTGAATATTCAGGTTAATAAAAAAAATATCAATATTACATGATTTGATTTGATACTGATATTAAAAAAGGTATATATTGTAATGCTAAAAATAAACCCAAGATTGAAAGAAAAAAAAATCCCTTTTCTCAAGGGTTTTTAATCATCATCTTTTTTTTAAACCAAAAATTTGTGAATGTAATTTTGATTATTCCCCTATTTATTACATAATACATGCATGTTGAAAAATGAAAATTGTAACCGGAGATTATTGAATTTCTGTGTAATCCTGCAAATTAATCCAATTCCCGCCATGAAATCCAAGTTGCACGGAAGCAATCTGGCAAACCAAACGAACCCTAAAACGTTGAACACATTTAGCATCGACTAATAAGAATACAAAGTCATATTTGAATGTATGAATTCAACCAACTCATCCCTAACTTGCTGAATGCTGATGACAAAATGAACAATAAATCTCAACGTATCATCAACCCTTGCAACAAGGGAAACCCAACCTTTATACGTTCTATACATTTTGTAGAACATATATTTGCAAAACAAACTCTACAAAAGACTATGAAATCTAATTCTAATATACCATCTACTCTAACACCAAGAAACTGCGACTGCTACTGCTACTGATGCTTATGATTTCTTGAAGCGGCTTCCATGTCTCGTAACAGATACGGTATCAACAACTCCGGTGGCTCCTCCAACATCATGCATTCCTCCCATTGCCTTCCGCCTAGTTTCGCCAACTGATCTGCACAATGGTTGCCATCTCTTTTTGTATGAATCATGCTGCACCTTTGTTCCCACATTAATCGCTTAATGGCCTCGATCACAGATTTCAGGGGATGATCGTCATCCAGTTCTCTAGCCGTAAGCCGCACAGCAGCGAGGCAGTCGGTTTCGATCAACAAGAATGACAGATTCATTTCCTTGATTAAACACAAGCCATTGAATATGGCCCAAAGTTCAGCCTGGAGAGCCGTATAAGATCCGCCATGCATCTTGCCCATGTATCCACACAGCCATCTTCCTTTGCTATCTCTGATTAAGCCCCCGAAACTGGAAGGACCCGGATTTCCTTTGGAACTTCCATCCGTGTTTAACTTGAGATGATGAAGCCAAGGGAAGGTCCAGGTGCATTTGCCCGGCAGCAGGCTGTAGTAGTCGCGGGTTTGCGCAAGTAGATTGATGAGGTCTTGTAGTTGCTGTTGCTCCAGTTGTTTCTGACGCAAAATACGAGGAGGATGTTGATAAGCAGGAGGGAAGGGGGTGATGGTGGGCATGAAAACGATCGGATTTTCCATTTCGTGTGGGGTGATGAGTTTGAGTATTGATTAGTGATTTGGCAATGGCCAATGGAAATGGAGGGTTGTTTAAATACAAGTGGGGGGATTGGATTAAGGAAAGTATCCGCTAATCCAAATGAAATCAAGATTATGATGATAGCTTCCATTTCTCAAACGATATCTTGAGGAGGAGGATAATGATTTTGTTTAATTATTAGAAATTAATTTAGAGAAGTGATAACATAACATGAAATTCCTCCCATTTTCAAATATATAGAGAGGGAGGGGTTGGTTATTATACAACCCTTGACATTTGTGTAACCAATACAACTCAATCTTAACCGTCCATTTCATTTGATTAATATGTGATTTCATAGAAGTTTTGATTGTTTCTTAATATAAAGTATTGATCATAATTAGTGAACTATATTTATCTTTCATAAATATTCAAATCATAATAAATGAACTCTCATCATTTTCATAAATATCTCAATTAATTGGGTTGCATTGGTTGTACAAATGCACTGGATTGTATTTGAAACAAACTATATATATATATATATATATGGATGTTTCACGAAATCTAGAGATATTAATAAATCAACATTAAATAAAACTTAACCGTTAAAGTGATTGGTGCTTATTAGATTTTGCTTAGGATAAATATAATTATCTCCCTACTAAAATGAAATTAATCATATTAAGGGGCCGTTTACCAAATGTTTACCCGGGTATACGCTTGCCAAGTAACATTACCTCACCGTATGAATATGGTAAAGACCAAGAATCTTACCCGGTAAGAGCGAGACAAAGACCAAGAATCCTACCCCATAAGTGAGAGTGACAACTTTTACCATGATAAGCGCTTACCAGGTAAATTGTTGCATACAATGTCGTTTTGGTGGACTAAAATCTTACCCGGAAAGTAAATAATAGTGTTAAATTTTACCAGTAAAAATTTACCGGGTAAGTGTTTGGTAAACGGCCCTCAATTCAATTATCAATTTTTTTTGAGAGACTGATGAACTCAAAGGTTCTCGGTTATGCATTTCTTTGTTGTTCCTCCTTCAAATTGTATTGTGTTCTTCAGCTTTGCAGCAGTCTTAGAGAGTAGAAACAGGAGAAATTTGAAAGGCTTTGATTATTATAGCATTTTTTGAATTCTAAGGATGAATATGGATTGAATTATTGAAGCACATGATCTTCAATATGTGTCCTCAACCCGTGTAGGAGGTTTTTCATTTGTTTTAAATTGATCTCTAATACGGAAAGTTGAATCACTAACGGGCTGTTTACCAAACGCTTACTCGGGTAAATGCTTACCAAGTCATATTACCTTATTGGATGCATATGGTAAGGGTCAAGAATCTTACCTGGTAAGAGCGAGAGAAGGACCAAGACTCTTACCCGGTAAGGGAGGGTGACGACTCTTACCATGGTAAACATTTATCGGATAAATTGTTGCATGCGATGTTGTTTTGGTGGACTAAAATCTTACCTGGTAAGTATATAATTGTGTTAAATTTTATTGGTAAACACTTACCGGGTAGGTATTTGGTAAACGACCCCTAAAAGTATTTCCAACAACTATGCTAAAATAAAAAATAAAAAAAAGATTTTAGCAACTTTTTTGCTCAAACAGTTATGTTATCTTTTATGTTAAAATAGATAAAAGATGAGAGGTTGTAAAAGTCTTTAAATTTAGAGAAAATCTCTAAATAGAGAGAAATTATTATTTTAATATTTTTTTTAACAATAAGAGATATTTATAATAAATGTTTAGGAGGAAAAATAAGATTTTATTAAATTTAGGGTTAAATGTATGAAATAACAACCTACTTTTATAAAAAAAATTATTATAGCATTCTAATTTTGTTTTTCTTTATTACATCAATGTACTTTTAAATTATTTTTTATTAAGGCATCGCACTTTAAAAAATCTACCTATTATAGCAATGAATAACTTGTTACCTTTTAAACCGGTTAACCCTTTGACTTTTTTGTTTGTGTGGCTTTAATGAGGTGATGTGGATGACACATCATTTTGATGACTTAATTAAAATAAAAATAAAAACTTATTTCAAATTATTATTAGTTATTTTCATTTTTTATTGCTATGATTTAAAAAAACATTTAATTTTTTTTACTTTTCTTATTAAGTTGAATGTAAATTAAATATTCTAGAGTAAATATTTCTTAAATAAATATGTTATATTATTTTTTAGATATATTTTGTTTGTAAAAAAATATAACACTTCTTATTTCATGTTGTTAAAAAAAATACATATCTTTTAAAGTTATCTCTAAAATGTTAACGAAATGAATTGTATTCTATAATTTTTTAATATTGTTATATTTATAAATAATCAAAAAAATCTAATTAATTTAATATATTTATACGTCAAGTAAAAGTTTTTGAACAAATGTAATATATTCTTTAAAAGATAATATTTTTTGGTAAAAAGGGAACAGTTCTTTTTTTCCCCCTTTCAAAAAACACATATTTTTAAAAAAAATTAGCGAGATGTATTAAATATTGGTATATTAATAAATAATTAAAAAAAATTTAATTCATTTAATATATTTATTAAATAACATGTAAAATATCTAAATATTAAAATTAAAAGTACATTTTTTTAATAAAAACTAGTAAATGTTATAATAATATAATTTTGAAAGTACAATGTTGTAATAAGAAAGTCAATCACTATAGTACATGTGGACAATGAAATGACATGGAAACCTGGTATAATAGGTAAATTTAAATTAAAAGATTATTCAATGCTATAATGGGTAAATTTTTCAAAGTACAATGTTCTAATAAAAAATAGTTTGAAAGTACATTGATGTAATAAGAAAAACTGGAAGTACAATGTTATAATAAAGAAATTTATGAAAGTAGATTGTTGTTTTGTGCATTTTGCCCTTAAATTTATTGAATATTTTAATAACATAATTAATGTTAGAATTGCTAAAATAAAGTAGCTATTGAAGTTGAATGTAATTTTTTTTATAGATTTTAACTATTAATACTTATTTTACAAATAAATTAGCATAGCTGTTGAAAATGCTCTAACGTAATTTAAAAAAAAAACAATGTATCTAAAAAGGTGAATTAAAAATGTCAATTTTTAATCGTTCAGATTTACCAAATAATTTTTAGATCTTGAATTTAATGAAAGAAAATAACTGAGTTGTTCTTAGTTTAATTAATATTAGATGCATGGTTTTTATTCATTGTAATTTTATTTTTTTCAGACGTAAACTTTAGATTTTTAATCAATTGTAACATTAATTTTTTATTTTTGGGTTATAAGAAAATTTTACGTATCGTTGCATTGTAATAACAATAAGTGTCTTCCATTCTTATGAATAGAAAAACAGAATAATCAATCAAAATATTAAATAACCAGACTTTAATTTAGTGCAATTTTTGCTACTTTGCAAAATGTTGACTCAATTTTATAATTATATTTTATTCATAAAAATTAGATTTTCATAAGTTGAGAAATGAACAGTTCCAAATTCATAAAAAATGGTTATTTTAGTTCATAAAAATTGGGCTAAAAAAATATAAAGGTTCGTCCAAAATGACTAGTTTGATCAATTTTCCTGCGAATCGATAAAAATATAGGAAAAGAAAAGTAATTAATTCCATCAATGAAATCAACCAGCAGAGAGACTCCATTGCCACCAAAATATATATATATAACTAATTACATGAATTGCATTCAAAATAATACATAAAGGGACCAAAATCACAGGAAAAACCAGACTACATTCTACAACTTCAAGACTTCTAACAGATCTATCCTTAATCCTTCAACAATTACAAGTTGGATTCCCTCTCTGCACAGAAATGCAGAATAAGATTATAATGAGAGAGATGTATAAAAAGCTTCCATTTTTAGTCTTTTATCATTTCATATAACAGAAGTAGAATCTTGTGTCTTCTTACGCTTGGCTTCGGGCTCTTCACCTTGTTCTTCGTCGTTATTAAGGATCTCATTCACTGTTTCCGGGCCCAGAAGAGATGCGTGTTTGCTAGTTATGGTGCGCCCAGCCCTTAGTTTCGGTCCCCAATGCCGTTCCGGATTTGGAAGGAACCGTGCAACCTTCTTTGCTTGAGCTTTGCTAAGTGATGCAACTGCTCGAGCAAAATTAACCTACACAAAGTTTCAGAATGTTTTGCTCCTTGAAATTGATTCTGTGACATGATTTATAATCAAATGTTTCCTTTTAAGCGAATAACTGGTGTGTCTACTTTAGGACTGCAATACAGTTAAGAGTTCAGAATGCGGTGAAGCATACCTGAATCTGAGGTTCTTTGGCCAGGATCACACTTCCAGCCTGCTCTGGAGGTTGGGCTTTCACAGGATGGTTTTTAACCTTAAAATCCGAAAGAAAAAGACACCAACTTCAAGCATAGAAAATGAATTATGCATGGAAGAAACCACGAGTCATAATGGAGAAAACAAGCTTACCCAACAACGCATGATATCCCATATGACATCCATAGGAGCATCAGATTTTAACCCTAATGGGTTCACATGAGTTCCAGAGATACGATATCCAGCGTTGATCACAGCAGACCTAAATACCACTGCTGATGGAGAAGTGCACTTAAGAGTACCACAAAGATTGTGCAAACTCAAGAAAAGGGGAACATCTGGTAATTCCTGAACAAAACACAACAGAGTTTACCATGAAAATGCATAAATGTCCGACTTTGATCTGTACACAAATACCCATTTTGTAAAAAACGCAAATAGTGATTATAATATTTTAACTCAAGTATAACCAACGGACCTCAGAAATGGTTGTCAGGACGGCAGAAATCCGATTAAAAGCAGGATAGCGTTCCTTCATAGATTTAATGTCTGCTAATATGGATGTCACCCAATCTTGATCATGAATAGGAGCCGACCATATGGGTCCTCCCATATTATATTTCTTCCCACAGTCGCTGCATTCTTGGGTAACAGCAGGACCAAACCCTGGGAGATATCTGATGCTCGTATTCTAAGAAATAGAGAAGAAAGAAAGAGTTAGAAGAAATTTTCTAGGTTTCTGGTTTTTTACATGATCAAGAACTAAGATCTCTAAACCTAATTGAGAAAAGGGTGATTATGTCCAGATCTAATTCTTTCTTTTACTTTTTTTCAACAAATCATATAGGATGCCACCCTCAATCAAATGTCAATTACGAGGGTCAAACACCATATCTCAAAGTTCAGAAAACTATAAATTTTCAGTAAAACGAGTCTGCAGTCCATGAATGAAAATGGTGCATTTGGATTTGTTAATCTCATCCTTAGGATTGTAGCTTATCTAGAATAAGCCCAAAAATGCTAAACAGGTTATCATTAAAACATGCACAAAGCAACTATTTATGGAATAGATGCGCACCTTAGAGACGGTCCTGGCCAGTGGCTGGAGATGAAAAGAATCACAACCAATACATTGATAAACGTATGAAAGCTTAAGTGGAGTGTTCTTCATTGCACTTGCTGAACTGAAATCATCCCGTAGTTCATCAAAATACAGGCTGTCACAATGTTATAATAGCTTGTGAAACAAAGGATACTCACGTATATATGCGGACGAATACCCTGACATAGAAGTCCATCTGAACAGATAACACTGGGACAATGTATCTCTTGTACCGGTTTGCATGACTCTGTATTCGAAAAAGGCAAGAAGAGATTTAAAATAAGCTTACTTTAATAAATGTGAAAAGTTAAACAATAAATAAAATGAAAAATTGAAATACATAAATCTAGTTAAAGATTAGAAACTCAAGGTTTTCTAGGAAAAATACCTCGATGCATGCAAGGAGGACCCGCAAAGCCATTTCGTGGCAATATTTTCCCCTCAGTGGGTAGGAACCATATCTAGCTCAAAATACAACACAAAAATGAGTCCTTTTTAACAATCAACTCCATCCCATGAAAACTGCAATTTGTCCCTTTTGGGGATGTTTGACGAGTAAATTTACTTATTTGCCAATCATCATCTTTATAAATATTTGGGTCCACAAGATCCTCCATGTTTTATCTTTTTTTAAATTTATTCTTGATATTCAGCAAACAGCAACAAAATTTCATTGAACAACATAACAAGTCAAGGGAAAACACAAAATAAGCTCAGTTTTAGAAATGCAATAAAATCTTACTTGGAATAGCAGACTTCTCCATTGCCTCCACATAGCACAGCCATATCTGTTGCTGTGCACATCAATAGCCCTCCATCAGCAATCGACTGAACCGCAGAGTCCAGGAATACAGAGGGTGAACCATAAGGATCAAGATCAACCTGAACAACATCAAATTCTGGTTATAACAACAAGATTACAAGTTATTCCTTGAAAAGAGTAGAACTGGTTGAATCCAATGATATCTTAAGGAATGCAGTATATACAAACTAAAAAACTCATGATATTAAATCATACCACTTCAAATTCCTTTGGATGAGTAAGCATATAGACTCGAGCATCAGCAAGGTTTGATTCCACTTTTTCACTGGCAACTGAACCATTGAATTTAATGTTTCTCCTGCAAGCTTCGACAGATGCTACAAAAAAATAACAACAATAAGTAACAAATGCATTCTTTGTTAGATATTATAATCTTGGTAGAATGGATGCAGGCATTTTGCATCAACATTCAAATGCAGTTATATTTAATGGCAGCATAAGATACTAGTTAAAAGATTCGTGAAACATAATTCACACATATACACCATCATCAACCTTTATCATTGTCCAGTGCCACAACTTGTCCGATCCCTTCTATTTCACGAGCATATCTTAGAGCTCTCAACCCTGAAGCTGATAGAGCCTATTGATTCAAAGAAAAAACTTATGTTAGCTAGCAAGAAAGACAAACAATCAAGATCCAAATATCCCACAATGAAATGTGAAAGAAAAGCAAATAGATGGAAACCTCAAGTACTCTAGGTGGCTTTAATGCCCCTCGTCCTTTATCATCTGGTGTTTTTACTGGTTCTTGGCAGGTGCCATTTGATTCATCTTGTGGCATCTCTTCACATTCGCCATTAGATTTTCCATTAGGCATAGTAGACTCAATTGGTGCTTCTAATCCAGAATCATTGTCCTCTGATACCTTCAACACTTTTTTCTTTCTTTTAGACAATACTGCTTCATGTTCTTCTTTACGTTTAGATATAAACGTCCTCAGAACAGCGATAGACATATCTCTGTTGTTAACCTAATAATCACAGAATTTTAATGTCAGAATTGAAATTTGTGGCAGAACACCAACACAAGCACTTCAAAACCTCGTCTTCTTCAAGCTACATTTCTCAAAGTTCTTAATCTTGAGTTAATATTCTACAAAATGACCTTTTTCCAATGTTCTCCTAATCATAACTTGATAGTAGGAATCCATATTCAAGGTTTTTCAATCATAGAAGTTTCTTCTTCTTCTTTTTTCCCTGCAACTATGGATATATTGTGTATGAAGCACCCCTCACCACTTTCTAAACACAAATTAGATATAATTAAAAGAGTAAAGCTTCAATCATTTTGCTTGAATATTCAAGATTTCATCCCCCAAAATCCTCAACCCCATGAAAATAATCCTTTTTTACCTTGCTCAACCCAGTACAGCAGTTTGCCTCTCCGACCCCCAAAAAACTCATTTCATAGTTTGGATATTTAATCAAGAATCAATGAATTTAAAACCAAAAAAAAGCATCATACATCATACATCATAAATCATAAATCGAGTAATAAATAAGGAAAAGATTGACCTGGGTTTTATTGTAAAAGACTTCATTTTTGGTATGCATCAAAATCTCAGCCTCTCCTTCTTTGATCACGATGTAATCATTGAGATCAGATGGTGGTGTACTCTTCTGCTTCTCTTCTTCCCCTGTTTTTGTCTCTTCACCGCCTCCCATGTTATAGGGGTGTTTCTTGTGATCCCCTTAATTCGCCGGCGGCAGTTATGGGTGGCGGCGGAAGAGAGAGTGTAGGAGGTCGCGAGGTGGTGGTGCTGTGCTGTGCTGTGCTGTGCGAAATATATGTATGTAAACAGTTGCAGTGATTGGGAAAGAAACGGGTGCATGTATAGGGCAGCCAGTTTATAAACCGCTCAGACGCAAAACCCTATTTCTGCTTCGATTTTCTTTTGGCCTAATTAAATTCGAAAATTGCATTATTTTTATTCAAAACCTATAATAAAAAATCAATAAAACATCTCGTAAAAAACCTATAATTTATGCTTAAATAAAATAGAATTCATAATATCGTCCTCTAAAAATAGTTTCTGGACTTTAATAACTACAATTATCGTCTTTATTGTTTACATTTTACTTTGAAAACGGCCACTCGTTACTAACTCCATTGAATTAGTCCGTTAAGGGTGCGTTTGGTGCGCAGACAGGACTGGACAGGACAGGACAGCTATTCAGCGTTTGGTAAGACAGGACAGTACAGGACAGGACTAGTTAAAATGACCAATTTACCCCCCAGTGTTTTTTCACTACGTAGGACAAATCTACTTAGTTCCACATTAAGCCACACCAAACGTAGGACAAATCTGTTATGTTCTGTCCTGTCCCACCCTGTCCAGCTTACCAAACACACCCTAAATGAGGATTAAAGTTATATGCGTCTTTTACTTTTTCTTTCTTTATCTTAGGGATCAAAATTATAGTTTATCTTTTTACATTTTTCTATTTATATATAACCACACATATACACTTGCAATATATGTACATTATATTCATTTGTTAACATTGTTTTTTATGTTAACTTTAAAAATCAATCTCTAACCATCCAATTGTTAGGTCAATAATTTAAATTGATTTTATTAATTTTAGTATTAAAAGTAAATAAAGCGATTAGTAAAGAATATGGGTAAATTTGATACAAAACAATTAAAAGAAACTTATCATTGTATTCTTCCCTACAATTACTCTTCCTTTACATTGTAGATGGGCAAGGATGAGTGGTGAAAATAGTGAACATATTCATGAATATTGTTAACAATTATGAATGCCAATGAGTGAACATATCAATGAACATTTGTAACGTCTGCTCCATGTTCATGAACACTTTTATGTTCATACATAATGACTAGCCATTCCGAAAATATTAAAGATGAACATGATGGAATACAAAATAATATGTTCATTACGTATGGATGAATTACATATTTGAAAAGAGCCAAATTTTAGGAACAATGTAACTCTCATATTATGTCAACATATTCTTACTATTTTACCCTCATTTATTCACCATATTCAAGCAAAGCCAAATAAAAAACATCTATCATTTTTTTCAAAATCACATAAGATCATACTATAACATCGACTAAGATAAATAATAAAATAAAATATTAAAATCAAGATGTATTTCGTTGCATTGCACGAGTACCCTTCTAGTATTGTTAAATAGATCTTTATATATATTTTATATATAGAGAGAGAGAGAGGGGTGTCATCTTTTGTTAACCTTGTTTTTTTATGTTAACTATACAAACCAAAATGGTCCAATATATAGAAATCTATATATTGGTTCATAATAGGTTTCAGCCTTATCCACCATATTCAAGCAAAGCCAAATCAACATCAGAACTTTTGCAAAGATTGAAGTAGTTGTTGCATTCTTTTATCCACATTCAGGAAACTCAAGTCTAGGAACATACCCAACAACACCAGTTGTATTGGTCCTGTTTTATAGTCCGCATCATCTTCATCGAATTATCATTTTGGGCTTCAAGTTTCTGCTCCAAAAAATCTAGCATGCTCTTTCATACTTCCAACTTTTCTGGTGACAGGTGCCAGATTTAGAAGAATTGACGACTGACTAGTTGGCGTTGGATAAATGGATGTCAAAAGAACTGAATTCTTGTGACAATTTGCTCAGGCAAGTGCGCTGATAGCAATGCTAGTTATGGTGCGAGCAGCCCTTAGCTTCGGTCCCCAATGCCTTTCCGGATTTGGAAGGAACCGTGCAACCTTCTTTGCTCGAGCTTTGCTAAGTGATGCAACTGATTGAGCAAAATTAACCTACACAAAGTTTCAGAATATTTATTGTTTCTGTGACATATGATTGATAATCAAATGTTTCCTTTTAAGCGAATAAACGGCGTGTGTACTTTAGGACCGCAATACAGTTTCAGAATGTGGTGAAGCATACCTGAATCTGAGGTTCCTTGGCTAGGATCACACTTCCAGCCTGCTCTGGAGGTTGGGCTTTCACAGGATGGTTTTTAACCTTAAAATCCGAAAGAAAAAAGACACCAACTTCAAGCATAGAAAATGAATTATGCATGGAAGAAACTACGAGTTATAATGGAGAAAAACAAGCTTACCCAACAACGCATGATATCCCATATGACATCCATAGGAGCATCAGATTTTAACCCTAATGGGTTCACATGAGTTCCAGAGATACGATATCCAGCGTTGATCACAGCAGATCTAAATACCACTGCCGATGGAGAAGTGCACTTAAGAGTACCACAAAGATTGTGCAAACTCAAGAAAAGGGGAACATCTGGTAATTCCTGAACAAAACACCAAAGAGTTTACCATGAAAATGCATAATTCTAACTTTTCTCTGTAAAATAATCTGGTGAAGTTAAACAAATGCACATTTCGTAGGAAAGCAAATAGTGATTATAATATTATAACTCAAGTGTAACCAACGGACCTCTGAAATGGTTGTCAGGACGGCAGAAATCCGATTAAAAGCAGGATAGCGTTCCTTCATAGATTTAACGTCTGCTAATATGGATGTCACCCAATCTTGATCATGAATAGGAGCCGACCATATGGGTCCTCCCATGTTATATTTCTTACCGCAGTCGCTGCACTTTTGGGGAACAACTGGACCAAACCCTGGGAGATATCTGACGCTCGTAGTCTAAGAAATAGAGGAAAGAAAAAAGAGTGATGAGAAATCGCAAAGATATCTGTGTGCCAACATCCTATGGTTCTTTCATGATCAAAATCTAAGTTGATCTTGAAACCCTATTCAAAATTCTTTCTTATCATCTTTCTTTTAACTTATTTCCAACAAATTGATAGGATGCCACCCTCAATAAAACATCTCCCAAAGTTCAGAAAACTAGAAATTCAGTAAAACAAATCAGCTGTCCATGAATGGAAGTTGTGTATTTGGCTTTGTTACCTCAGGCCCCAGGATTGTAGCTTATCTAGAGTGAGCCCGAAAACTCTAAGCAGGTTATTAGAATATGCATCAAATGACTATTTATGGAATAGATATGCACACCTTAGAGACAGTCCTGGCCAGTGGCTGGAGATGAAAAGAATCACAACCAATACATTGATAAACATACGAAAGCTTAAGCGGAGTGTTCTTCATTGCACTAGCTGAACTGCTATCAACCCATAATTCAGCAAAATACAGGTCATCACAAAGTTTTGATAGCTCGTGAAAGAAAGGATGCTCACGTATATATGCGGACGAATACCCTGACATAGAAGTCCATCTGAACGGATAACACTGGGACTATGAATCGCTTGTACCGATTTGCATGACTCTGTATTTGCGGAAGGCAATAAGAGATCCTATATATATATATATAATTCTACTTCAAGATTAGAAACTTGGAGGTTTTCTAGGAAAAATACCTCGATGCATGCAAGGAGGACCCGCAAAGCCATTTCGTGGCAATATTTTCCTCTCAGTGGGTAGGAACCATATCTAGCTCAAAATACAACACAAAAATAAGTCCTTTATTAACAATCAAGTCCATCCCATGAAAACTTCAATTTATCCCTTTTAGGAAAGTTTGATGATTAAAATTACCTATTTGTCAATTATCATCTTTACAAATAAACGGGTCGTATTGATTTGGGTCCACAAGGTCCTCTATGTTGTCTTCATTAAAATGTTTCCTAGATATTTTGCAAATAGCTAGACAATTTCTTTAAACAATATAACAAGTCAATTGCAATCTTACACAGGAAGGAAAAAACTAAATATAAGCTCAGTTCTGAAAATATAAAATCATACTTGGAATAGCAGACTTCTCCATTGCCTCCACATAGCACTGCCATATCTGTTGCTGTACACATCAACATCCCTCCGTCGGCAATCGACTGAACCGCAGAGTCCAGGAACACAGAGGGTGAACCATAAGGATCAAGATCAATCTGAACAACATCAAATTCTGGTTATAACAACAAGATTACAAGTTATTTCTTGAAAAGAGTAGAACTGGTTGAATCCAATGATATCTTAAGGAATGCAGTATATACAAACTAAAAAACTCGTGAAATTATATATCATACCACATCAAATTCCTTTGGATGAGTAAGCATATAGACTCGAGCATCAGCAAGGTTTGATTCCACCTTTTCACTTGCAACTGAACCATTGAACTTAATGTTTCTCCTGCAAGCTTCTACAGATGCTACACACAAAATAACAACAAAATGCAAAAGAGCACAGTTCTCAACCAATATATTTGTTCAATATTATAATTTTGGTGACATAAGATACTAATTAGAAGATTTGTAAAACATAATTCACAGATACATCGCCAACCTTTATCGTTGTCCAGTGCCACAACTTGTCCGATCCCTTCTATTTCACGAGCATATCTTAGAGCTCTTAACCCTGAAGCTGATAGAGCCTATTGATTCAAAGAAAAAACTTATTTTAACTAGCACGAAAGACAGACAATCAAGATCCACAAATCCCACAACGAAATGTGAAAGAAAAGCAAATAGATTGAAACCTCAAGTACTCTAGGTGGCATTAATTCCCCTTGTTCTTTACCCTCTGGTGTTTTCTCTGGTTCTTCGCAGGTGCCATACGATTCATCCTGTGGCATCTCTTCACATTCGCCATTACATTTTCCATCAGTCATAGTAGACTCACTTGGTGCTTTTAATCTAGAATCATTGTCCTCTGATACCTTCAACATTTTTTTCTTTCTTTTAGACAATAGTGCTTCATGTTCATCTTTACGTTTAGATATAAATGTCCTCAGAACAGCAATAGACATATCTCTGTTGTTAACCTGATAATCACAGAATCTTAATATGAGAAATGTTTCATAATGCTATGGACCTAAGGAGTTGCTTCTGTTTATTGAAATTTGTGGCAAAACACCAACACAAGCATTTTAGAAGAAAACGACCCTTTTTCCAAATTCTCCTAATCATAACCCGATAGTAGGAATCCATATTCACAGTTTTTCTATCGATGGATATATTGTCCACAAAACATCAGACACAATTTTATAATCACAAATTATAATCAAGAAACAGCCAGAAGAATAAAGATTCAAGCATTTTGCTTGAAAATGCAAGATTTCACACCCCCCCCGCCCCCCCAAAAATGATTCTTTTATACCTTACCCTACTCAGTACAGCAATTAGTCTTGGAATTTGCCAAAATCTAGTGATAATAAGCAAAAGATTGACCTGGGTTTTATTGTAAAATACTTCATTTTTGGTATGCATCAAAATCTCGGCCTCTCCTTCTTTGATGACGATGTAATCTAATGGTGTGGTACTCTTCTGCTTCTCTTCTTCCCCTGTTTTTGTCTCGTCAACGCCTCCCATGTTATTGGGGTGTTTCTTGTATTCCCCCTGATGTTGTGGGTGACGGCGGAAGAGAGGGTAGGAGGTTGCGAAGTGGTGGTGCTGTGCCAATTCAAATATCCGTATGCAAACACCTGCAGTGATTTGGGAAAGAAACGGGTGCATGTAGGTAGGGCAGTATTCTTATTTAAATCCATAACCGATTAAATTTAAAAGGAAAATCAAGAAAATCGATAAGAATTAACGAGAAACAAAAGAGCTTAAAACGTTCATACAATAAGAAATATAGACGGTAAGATAGGATAAGAAATAAAGACAGGTTTTGAATCAGATATTTGGGTAAGAGATTGTTTGTTTATCTTTTAATAGTTTCATTAATAGGCAAACTTTGAATCTTTAAGAGGTGAATCTTGTTTGCCAAAAAAAATCTGTTTCTTAATGGTTCTAAAACTCTCTGAATGATTTTGTATCATAGGTCTCTTGATTATTCAGCGCCCTAATTTCATTGTAAATTATTACCAAATAATTATATTTCATTTTGCACTATATCATGAAAGTCTCTTAATCACTCTGACCACTTAATCATTTTGCACCAAACTATTCAGTAACTGTCAAACAACATAAGAGTGTGGACACATTTGCTTGTCTTACCCAAAAAGGACTCATGACCACATATGTTGGTGATTTTAGTGTCACCGGTTTTATTTGATGTAAGGGATAAATATACGAGAGCTAAAGAGATTTTTCACTTAGTTTTTATGCAAGTCAGAAGATGTGAAGTGCACACTTGCATAAGACTAGATTAATCCCGATATAATCAAAAGACGGGGATCAAGGGGGCCACGCTCCCTTGCGAGGTCCAAGGGGCAGCGCCCCTGGCGGGTTAGTTCCTAACAGATGTTTTTTGGTTCATAACTATTGATCACCTTCATATAACGTGCTATAACTGTTTGGTCTTATACAATTTTTCTGGAAAGATAACCCTCGTTTTTGGCTCTCAAATGAGTGAATAGATACATTCAAAAACCAACGGTAACATGATCTAATTTATGTGCCTTAGAATTATATTGTTCCTTCTTCGATTATCCCAAAATCAAAATTCCGTGCAACTCAAGGCTATAGGATCGAAATATCTGATTCGGAAAGTGATTTACACGATCCAAGCAAGAATCCAAGCAAGTGTGTTTTCAGAAAACCATCCTATTGTTCATTTACCCCAACATATCATAGAACGGATACGACACATGATATTATCAAACTTTGAAACGTCTTATTCCGACGAATTGGCCGCAATTTGTAACAACTTTTGCATCTGTCTCGAATATGACATGAATAAATTCCAAATCAATCGCCCATGACATTACACAAGAGCGTCAGAGCTTCACACTCACGAGCAGACAGTAATCCGACAATACGCTTAGATCTAGCGACTACAAACGCTTCTTGGACATCAAGAAACACCACACTAAATCCGGCTTTTACATTGTTCAAGATGACGGTCGCGTTAGTACTACATTTAACAAAACCATTGGGCGGGTGACGATGAACCCATGATTTGGATGACGTCATGGTATTCTCGTCAAAATACAAATTGATGAAAGAAAAATGATACGCGAAACAACACGGTGACTTTTTCAATGTAAGTTCTTAGTTTAGGGGCTTTTTAAGTAAAAGTAGAAAAGTATGGGGTGTTTTTCAGAACTTGATAACTTCACTTCCATCCTCCTGGTCCATTGCTGTCCACAGTTGTGATAAGGCGAGTCTAATCCTCACCAAATTGTTCATTTGGAAGTGGTCGAATCACGAAACCATGTTGGAACACATCACAGCAAGTGAAGTAGCCGGTTATGGAGTCGGTGCTCTTCTCCTATGTGCCACCGTTTCCGCCCCTAAGATCGATTCTTTCATCTCTGCTTCCCAACGCAGGTAACCCCTTTCTGGTTCTCTTTTTATGCCGATTAAACTGTTAATTTCCCCAATTTTGTCTAATTACTTGCTTTCATCGTAATATTGAACCTTTTATGAGCGTTTCATTTGACAAATTTCATCTTAGGTATATGAAGAGATATGTTATTGTAGAGTAAAATGGAAGAAAGAATCCCAATTTCGTGCACTTTGATGCATTCATCATCTTGTGATGCAATCTTCAAATCCTTTTTTATTAATTTGTCATAGTAGATGCTATAAGTAAAATCTTGGATTATAGTATAAAGTTGGAGAGACACGTATTATAACATGGTACGAGAGCCAATCTGGGACCGGGGCTCGGCACTCTTGGGACATCTTTGTCCGGCTAACCCCTCTCGACACTCTGTGACATCTTTGCCCATCTAGCTTCAGTTTGAAACTAGGCATTGTAGCCACTATATGTGAAAATGCCAAAGTGAGTGATTTTAGGTAGCGAAACAGACTCATATGGTTGGATAGAACAGGACAAGTTGTCTGTCCCGTGATTGGCATGACTAGGACTGTGTTGGAGGTAAAAAAGAAGGTAGTGATTGTGGCAGAGGTGGTCAGCAGGATGCAATCTTGAACCTGTTTCGTGGGTTTCTTATGGAATTGTCATATAAGGTATTAGAAGGAAATCTTGAATAGGTGAAATTAAATCACAGAATTACGGGTTAAAAGCGAACAAACACATAAACAGATTCAAAACGTTTTATGCTATGCATTTTTTGCATCAGATGTTTAATTTGACGATGGAGGTTTCTGAGATATGCAGCTCATTAGGTATGTGTAAGAGATGTGGTGATCTGAAGTTGATTGCATGTTCAAATTGCAAAGGTTCTGGATCACTGAAACAAGGTGGCATGTTTAGTTTCAGCCTTCCAGATGACGTTTCTTTTGTGGGTGAGTCAAAGACGATCTCTTTATCGTGCAACAAATGTCGAGCCAGAGGACACTTCCCCTGCCCCGACTGCTCTAAACCACCCTACGCTTGATCCTTTATGGTTTATGTGTTTTTTCAAGATTCATATATTATCGTTATCAGTTACATAAACAAAAGTCTAGCTCTCGATCATATATCTCGTGATCCTTGTAATGTTGTAAATGTATATCAGAAACTTCACATAACAGATTGAAAGATTTCGGATCCATAATGTTGTAAAGGGAGGACCGTGAAGCACCGGAAAATTTCTCGTATGGGTATGCAGAAGATGGAGAGATAGTTTCCTAACTTTTACAAATAAACAGCAAACGGTTTCATATGTGAACCAATGTGATTCACATATAAAGTATAAGTTCATATGTGAACCTGTTAATTAGTTCACATGGGAACTATTTAACTGATTTATATATGAACTAGCAGTGTAACAATTTGTCCCACGTGGATAGAAAGTGAGCAATGTTAGCTCCTTATAAGTCTCAAGTAGTGAGTTACCAATAACTTTCACCATGGTTTAAAGTTGGATTTAAAGTTATTAGGCTAGTCCGTTGCTTTGGGCTTTGTGGGTGTTACAAACAGGCTTATATGTGAATCAGTTAAGATAGTTCATGTGTGAATTACGCCACGGGTTAACATATGAACTATATGTTTATGTGTGAATCACATAAATTTACATATGAATCCGCTTGTCATCTGTTTATACAAGTTATAAAACTAACCCTTTTATTTTTCACACAGCCATAATTTTTTACCAGTCAAATCCGATCTTGATCGTATGAAGAGATAAAATCACTTATTTACTTCTCAATATAACTTTTTGCCATACATGCATGTATAATTTATACACACACTAATATATAATATATAAATAATATAATATGTTATTATAGTTTTTCAAAGAAAATTAGCAAAAAGGTAAAATGCCCATAATACCCCTCTTTTAATTGGATTTAACGGAAAAAGTAAACGACCGTTAGGAGGAGGGACGAAAATCATTACAAGGTGTCAAACGTGAGAGATAAATCTGTTAAAACAAAGTTGAGGGACAAAAACCGTTGAAAATGACAATCGTTTGGGGGCCAAAAGTGAACTTTACTCTTTAAAAATTACAAAAAAAAAAAAACACATGTAATGTGTGTAAAAATGGCAGTGGTGGTAGTGGTGTTGGCAGTGGTGACGATGACCTGTAGTTATTGGGGCGATAATGGTGGCAGCGGTACAGGCTATGCAGGCATCGATGGTAGTAGAGGTGCATAAATGACTCGAGTAAAATTCAAAAAGTCTTCGCCTTGCCTTGCATTGGAGATGCTCTCGACTTCTTAACTATGATAAATAAACTTAACAAACTAAATTGATAATCCTTCTATTCTTATTCATTTTCAATCGATTGTTTAACAGTTTAACTTTTGTTTTTAAATTGCAAACAACATAAAAAAAATATATTCAAGTTTAAGAAAATAGCAAAGCCGAATAAGTCAAAGGCAGTTATTTTATTCAATTAGAACTTCTATATTGACTAAAACATGCGTTCCATGTACCATGTTTATCCCACTATACACATTTGTCATTGAAAATATATGTAGTTTGTTTGAGTTCAATTCAAACTTTTATACTGAAATCTCCAAACATTCTATATGTCTTTATCGTTGAAAATGTATTTACTTTGTGCACGCTTTTAATGAACATGCACATGCTATATTTAGCTTGAACGACCCAACCTAACCCTTCAAATCCATAAGAGTTAGGTTGGATCAGGTTATACTCCAAAAAGAATTGGAGCGAAATATGATCCTTCTCTCTCTCTCTCTCTCTCTCTCTCTCTCTCATGAAAGTAGTTGAATTAATCCGGCTAACCAAACATGTACGCACCAGACGCTGGTTATATAAATCATCCTAAATTATTGATGTGTTTTGAAATGATTGAACTCATAATCTTTTGATCTCGATATGAAATTATTACATGTTTGTTTTTTCATGCATTTGGAAAAGTTTCTCGTTTCGACTCAATTTCAGTTTTACTATTTAGTCGATCTAATGGATTTGGATGGAACGGATCCAATCAAATAATGCATTGGATCTTGAATTTTGACGATGGATCTAATCCACTTAACTTTAGATAACCAATCGAATTCAATGGATGATTGGATGCGATCAACAATAGTTACTCGAATATTAGGGGCTATTCGGTTCATGCTGAAAAATGAAAATGAACTTTCATTTTTTCCGGTTTAATCTGGAATGAAAATTTGAGTTTCTAAAAAATAAACCCATTATATTATATAATACTAAACAATTTCTTTTATTTTGGTTCTAATTAATTACTGTTTGATAACATGGTGTAAGGCTTCAAAATCAAATTTGTGGCGTGGGGCCGACAAATATGAAGTACAATTATTTCCTTCACTTTGTCAAAATCAACAAAGATTACTTCTCCGCTGGACATGTGAAACTGACATTAACAAGCACGTGGCCTCGGCCACTAGTATTCTGACACGTTGACTCCTGTAATTATGCACTAATAAGTGGATTTTTTTTTTAACACAATTAATTTCCCAAACAAAACAAAATATTTCATTAACTGACGGACGGAACTATTAAAAATAAAATAATAAAAACAACAAAAATATGGGTCTATTGTATTTTATTTTATACAAATATTTTCTTGGTAGAAAATTAAAAAAAAAGTAGTGAATCACATATTACATTTTTTGTCCCTATAGTTTATTGAAGGACTGATTAGACTTTCATAACGGTTGCAAAATGAAAATGAAAATGAAAAATTACAAACTACCAGTATAGATAGTTTGTTTTAGAGATCAAATCCAAATTTTGATCAAACCACAGGGACTACCAGTGAATTTCACTCTTAATTAGGTTATCTAATATAATTTTGAGCAAACCACAGGGACTACCAGTGAATTTCACTCTTAATTAGGTTATCTAATATAATTTTGAGCAAACCACAGGGACTACCAGTGAATTTCACTCTTAATTAGGTTATCTATACTATATTATAAAACATTTAACAAAAACTTTTAAAAACTATTCTTTATGCATGAAATACTGTTTATTAATGCATATTACTTATTTTAACATTACAAGTAAATTGTGCGTAAGTACAACTTATTAAAGCTTTATTTTTGAATTTGTGCAACTAATTGCAGATAAACATAAACAAATAAAGGATAAACATTTTATTTTAAATATAAAAAATCTAAAATATAATTAAAATAATCATTGAGTTATAACAAAATCATTATCTTTATAAAAATTATATGGTTAAGTCAAAAATAAATTATTTCGCTATTAGACCTAAATTAAATTATAATAAAAAATTGAATTAAAGAAATTGTACAAAAAAACTAGAACCTTGAAATAGTTAATTTGATATTAATATCGATATATTTTTTCAAACTTTTATGATATCTACAAATTTATTTTTATTCAAAAGTAAAAACATTATCTTTCTCAAAACCACATAAACCATATTTATATCAATAGAGACAAAAAAAAAATCGAAACATTAAAATAAAGATGTATGTCGCTACATTGCATGAGTACCCTTCAAGTATCATATAAATAATATGTGATCAAAAATCTAAACTAGAACTTAGAATGGTTTTACAACTTCATTTTTGCCATTAGTCTGTAATATGTGTGAGTCCATAAAATTGTGAGTGAAGTGAATAAAGTAAATTTGTAAAGGTGTAAAATCTAAAGTTAAAAGTATAAAAACACAAAAAGTAAAGAAAAAATTATTTTTGTAAAAAGAATTGAAAAAACGTCTTACAAAAAACCTGCATCATGACACTCCTTTTAAAACCTTGAATATAGTAGTACACGACGAGTACAAGGCGACACCAACAACATGCCAAACAACTTCTCACTCCTTGCACCAATCCTAGTAGGATGCTCTTCGTTCTTATCTTCCGCCATTGGCGTTGCTGAACTCGTTCCTTCCCGCTTGTTTCTATATCATAGATCTGAACCAATCCCTATGTCTTAACACAAATCAAAATCCAAAATTTAACTAAATAACGAACAACTGCTTTTAGGTTTAGTTTTTTTTTATTAAACTAAATATTCAACCCGCTATGCGAGCCAACTAATCCCAAGACAACCATCTATTTTGCGGGTTGTCTGGAGTCATCGCATTTGAACCTTTGTGGTCACAAGATGATTTTTGTTCCTACTTGAATTTGAGTTTGAGACATTCAGATACTTTTGATCTTTGGAGCTCAAGCTCAAACTCAAATCAATCAGGCATCATTCTTATGGTTAGATTTAGGTTTTGTTTTGAGGTTTGGAGAAAGCATTTGTTAGGCTTGAGGGTGTGGATAGAATGTGGTGGAGAAACACTTTCTCGAGATTTTTTCGTGTTGGATTTGTCACAAATTTAGAAGGAAAAAAAAAAAGAATCTTGATAAACTTTCATATTTTAAATAATTATGTTTTTAGATTTTTTTAAACGAATAAAATTACTATATGATTAAAATTGAATAAATTAATCATTCTGACCTATAAATATTTTTTTTATTAAAATTCCAAACCAAAACAATAAAAATAACATGACTAAAACATTATACAATTCTTGGTAAAAATCATTGTATTTACCGAAACCAGATAAACTGATCCTTTAGGCCTGTAAAGTTTGTTTACTGACATATGTGACATACCCCAGATGATTTGTCAAATTTAAAAATTTGGATGGACAATCCTTTTGCTAACCGTTACCGATCAGCTTGTTCAGTTTTGATAAATGTAAGAATTTATTTCTTCGAATAAATGTTTTAGGATTGAATTGCTCAAAATATAAAAGCTGGGCGACATTACTTAGATCAATTAAATAGCAAGCGAATTGCCCACATAAACTTTTTTACTTTGAAAAATCATCTAACGTATGTCAGCTATGTTAGGAAACGAACTATCCAGTTAAGAAGAATCAATTTATTCAGTTTTCTCAAGTGTAAGGATTTTTTCGTTAATTTTTTTCCTAACACTTAACGCCTGTTTGTTTTTTCAAAATTATCTCTGAAGTCTAATTCGTTCAGACGTACGGAGTATTAAGAGCGTTTGTTTTATTTCTAAAACAAGAGCTTAAAAGCTCTAAATTTCCTCTAAAATTTTAAGTGGTAAACATATGTCTTAATACTTCTTAATCCTAATCCACCCTCTATCAGATGATTCGTATTTTGAGGGCTAGAAGAGATTTTTGTTAGCAAAAACTATTTATTTTATATAT